CCAATAGTCCATCTAGTCCAGCATCCTGTCTCACACAGTGGCCAACCAGTTCCTCTGGACAGCCAACAACAGGGCATAGAGGACAAGGCCTTCGCCTGATAAGAAGAGCCTTGCTGAACCAGACCAATAGTCCATCTAGTCCAGCATCCTGTCTCACACAGAGGCCAACCAGTTCCTCTGGAGGGCCAACAACAGGGCATAGAGGACAAGGTCTTGGCCTGCTAAGAACAGAAGAGGCTTGTTGAACCAGGCCAATAGTCCATCTAGTCCAGCATCCTGTCTCACACACTGGCCAACCAGTTCCTCTGGACACCCAACAACAGGGCATAGAGGACGCCTTCCCCTGATAAGAACAGAAGAGCCTTGCTGAACCAGGCCAATAGTCCATCTAGTCCAGCATCCTGTCTCACACAGGGGCCAACCAGTTTCTCTGGAGGGCCAACAACAGGGCACAGAGGCCGAGGCCTTTCCCTGAGGTTGCCTCCTGGCTCTGGGATTCAGAGGATTAGTGCCTCTGAATGTGGAGGTTCCCCTCAGTCACCATGGCCACTGATAATATCCTCTATGAATCTATTGAATCCCCCTTTTAAAGCTGAGTATTCCTGTGGCCATCACTACATCCTCTAGCAGAGAATTCCACATTTTAATTTTAAGTTACAATAATTTTCTTTCAAATTGGCTGGAATTGTGGCCACACTCGTGTATGGCGGTGGCCAACAACACCCTCCCTAGGAAGGACCCATACGACAGAGGTGTTCCATCAATATTAATACTACTCAGGCTTATCACGATGAATGGGCAATAGGATGAATGTTAAACAAATTAATTAATGATTATCCACTTTACTTAAAAATGTTTCTCACAGAACGGGGGCACTTTATAATAAATGGACATTCGTTCGCGCTAAATGACTAATGAAATTTCTACTGCATTAATTATTATATCCGGCAAAAGCGGCAAAATGAATTTGCCGTGATCAGTCTCATTAATACAGACACCAAAAGTAATAAAAGATCCGCCGGTTATCAAGAATATCTCGTGTTATGGGGATGGTTTCAAGCGAAGTTTAATTTGATCATTTGACTTAAGGTAATATCCGAGGTATTATAATAATTAGGCTTGGAAGACCGCCATTATTGCATTATGGCTGCAGATCGGGAATGATCTATATGTTATCAACAAATACTTGAAATGGAAGATAAGGAAGACCATCTTAAGGGTTAGGAAACACCTCTGGGTGGGGAAATACCTGGAGATTTTGGGAGTAGAGCCCGGCGAAGGTGGAGTTTGAGGAGGGGAGTGACCTCAGCAGGGTATAATGCCATAGAGTCCACCCTCTAAAGCAAGCAATTTTCTCCAGGGGAGCTGATGTTGGTCATCTGAAGATCAACTCTCATAGTGGGAGATCTCCAGGTGCCACCTGGAGGTGGCAACCCTACCTGGGTTCCATATTCCATTCCCCCACTACTAGGGAGTCAGTCCCGGGTAGTCAGCAGTCAATCCCATGCTGTACTTCCAAGTAAGTATGCCTAGGATAGGGCTGTAAATGAAATCAGGTCCTTGGCGAATTTTTGGAACTCAGAATCTCCAGATCATTTTCATTAAGCGTGTCTGCCTAGGAAGCACAATCCAAACTGTTATGAACTTGGTCTCTGGAACCAGTTCTCCTAGGCAGATTTCTTCGGCAGTATAAGAATGTCACTTCTATGCAGGGTGCTCTCTGTGAGTGAGTGTGTGTGTGCGTGAAGTATTTATTGGGTTTTATGTAAGCTGCCCTGAGCCCGCCTCGGCTGGGGGGGGCGGGGTAAAAGTCTAAATAATAAATAAATAAGTGCCATCAGGTTGCTTCTGACATGGCGACCCTATGAATTAATGACCTCCAAAATGTCCAATCATCAACAACCTTGCAAACCGAGGGGCCTTTGTGGCTTCCTTGATGGAGTCAATCCATCTTGTTTTGGTTCTTCCTCTTTTCCTCCCGCCTTCCACCTTCCCTAGCATTATTGTCTTTCCCAGGGGCTCTTGTCCTCTTGTCTTCATCTCGCAGGGCATACGGCTGCCCCATACAGTCCATAGAAAATCATGCCCAGTAGCATATTTAGGGTTATACAGTATAGTCTGTGAGTTTTAGAACAGTCTTGCTAAAAGACAGTCAGACAAATGCACATAATGGCGACTTGTCTGTCTGACCATTGTCCTATCAAGGTCAGTGTTGTCTGTTCGGACTGGCAGTAGCTCTCCAGGGTCTCAGGCAGAGGACTTTCACCTTACCTGCTAACTGATCCTTTCTTAGTGGAGATCCTAGTGACTGAACTGGGGACCTTCTACATTCAAAGCATATGCTCTGTCACTGGCCCATGGTCTCTTAGCTGAACTTCCGTCAAGGATCTTCTAATCTACTGTCAGGCTCGGGTTGGCTGATCATCTGTACCTGTTGTATTAGTGCCCCAAATTCCTGATGACTGTAGCTATGCTTATTGTATTAACCTCTTTCCCCCTGCCTCCCCCTAGACCTTTATTTCAGCACCAAAGTTCTTATCATCCTCCCTTGCCTGCCACAGGATTCCTGGGGGGGGGGGAGCGAGTGTATGCGTGTAGGAGTAGAACCGCTTGCCTGTGTAACTCTTATAAGCAACCCTCAAGAGATGTCTTTCACACAGGAAGGTGTCCTTGGGAGAAACGCCTTTGATTAGCTAGGGATGGACCGTATATCTCTCATGGTCTGGATGGTATTGCTGACGTGTAAGAATGGAATGTGTGACTGTGACTATATGCACCTTTCCCGCCTTAATGCTTTAGTTCTGACAGAGAGATCATTCCCTGAACATCTCATATCTTCTACTTCAACCAAGAAAGTGTCTACACTCTAGCTCCTCCAATGGCAAGCTTCTCTGTGTCATGATGAATGAATGAATGAATGAAATACGGTGTTCAAAATGCACGCACCATGCTCCCCCCAGCTGAGACCCCCGTCACACGCACATGCTCCCCTGTGAAGCAGGATTGCACTTGCTCCCACCCTGTTGGGTGCGCAAGGGAAAGGAGTTGGCAACGTGCCAAATTACAGTCTGGCTGACGTTTTTCCCCGTCTCTTTGTCTTGAGAGATGCAATTGCTCCGCTTAAAACGCCACCGTCTTTCTCAGACCGAACCCGCAAACCGTTTTAAAAGGCAAGCTGTTCGAGAGGTCCTTCATACTCACTAAACCAGAAGGTCCAGATGCTCTCCTTGTAGTCTCCAAAAAACCAACACCTCCAAAAGAACCCTTCATGGTGGAAGGTGAGGACTTCTCTGCTGTCGTTCCTCTGCTCTCCCTTTACAGCCTAGAAATTAAGGACAAAAATTAGCCAGGACTGTTATTTTTTACTTTTATTTAATTTATTAAATTTATACTCCACCCTACCTCGCAAGCGGACTCAGGGCGACTTACATAATTGGTCTATAGGTCACCGTACAGTCACATAAAAACAATTTAAAATTCAATACAATAAGCTAGAACACAACCTCATAAAGTGCTAGTGCTAATACACTGAATGCATAAGATGGCGTGTTGAAATTACCATACAACCAGTGTTCCCTCTAAGCTGAGTTACTGTGAGCTAGCTCACAGTTTTTTAGCCTCTGGCTCACACATTTTTGTCTTAGCTCAGGAAGGATGGCTCCAGAGTGAACTATTTTATGCAGGTGCCAAATGGCTCGCTCACAACTTTAACGCAGGTGGCACACAAAGTAGAATTTTTGCTCATGAGACTCCACAGCTTAGCGGGAACATTGCATACAACCAGACAGTTTCGCGCAATGATCTTCTAGAGCACGAGTTATGGAACTCACTGTGCTTTTGTTTTCCTTCAATGTAGCAAAGAAACTATATTTTTCCCATGTACGTGGCTAATATTAGAATTCAGCTTTAAGTCCTAATTTCTCCATCTTGTACGAAGATCTGCAACTAACATATAAGGATTCTAGCCCAATAGCACCGCAGAGAGCAATCAGGTGCCCTGGGACCCAACTCTAGCTACTCTAGTGCAAAACAACCAGGGCTGCCCTCAGAAACTGACATCCAAAGTTGCCTTCCACTGAATCAGACGGTTGGTCCATCTAGCACAGCTTTCTCTCCTCCAGTCAGTAGCAGTTTCGCACAGTCAGGGGCAGGGAAAAGTCTTTCCCAGCATCTGCTTCCTAAGGTCCTTTGAACTCGAGATGCCAGGGATCAAACCAGGGGCTGTCTGACTTCAGAGCATCTGCTCTCCCGACTGAGTATGACCTCCTCCCTGAAAAACCTCCAAGGCACACATCTCCCTTCCCTCTTCTTGACCCAAGCTGGAGGTATGCAGACACCACAGCACCAGTTAGCCAGTAGGTATTTCTGAACTTAGGTCCTGGTCACATGGAGATTTTGCCGCGCGAAATGCACGGATTTTCGGGGCGCGATCACGCCGCAACATCTGGGAAGCATAGCACACCCGTGGCCAACACTTGGCGTCCCGCCGAAGATGCGGAGTTAAAAAGTACCAAGGAAAGTGCACTAGTATCCAGAAAACGCATGGCACAGGCGGGCATCTGATCGCAGGAGCGCTAGTATCCCGTGGCATCCGGCGCCTGTCCACATCTCATCGCAAACTGGATGTTTTTCGTAAGCACATGCGCACAAACACGAAACTGGAAGCAGTGCTGCTCTGCGGAACTGCGCATGCGCACATGTGATCGGACTCCCATGCTTTTTTTTGCTCCGGGGTGAACAGCCCCGCCTCCCCCCCCCCCCACACGTTATCTGGCCTGTGTGACTGGGGCCTTAAATGGGCATTCTGGAAACATGGTGTCCAGACACGAGCCTGTGCCTGCACTCACCAGTGCCCACCACCAGCACCAAGGCCCCAGAGCCGGGATACTGACCTGGGCTGTGGCCATCAGAGGGAAGGGAGGCTGCCAGGGAACAGGCTGCTTGCCTAAGGCAGACCAGAGACGCTACAGGTTATTAGCTAGTGGATGACTGAAAAGGGATACCTGGACCAGGCAAACAGGTGGGGGTGGGACAGACCCAGGTATAGGGGCTATAGGAGAGCCAGTTAGGTGTAGTGGTTAAGAGCGTGGGCTCTAATCTGGGAGAACCAGGTTTGAGTTCCCACTCCTCCACATGCAGCTGCTGGAGGGACCTTGGGTCAGTCACGAGTTCTCTCAGAGCTGATCTCTCCAGAGCAGTTCTCTCAGTCTCTCAGCCTTACTGGCAACGCTCCCTCTTTTTTTTTTTAGTTTTCAAAATTTTATTTAATTAAAACAATACAAACATGCATACTGAAAGATATAGTACATTGTGTTTTCAATCAATTTCAACTCAGTATCTGTATATTGCACATAACTAGTACTCAGTCTAATCTACTTTTCACTTCTAAAACTTATATGATAAGAGCTCAGCCTAAACACCTGTGAATCAAAAATGTATCCATTCCAGATACTTTCGATTTGAAGGTAGTAGATCATTTTCCACGAAATATGTGATCAGAGGGAACCACCTGCGCACAAATTTGGTATGAGATCCCGTGTGACTACTCGTTCGCCCTTCATATTCATCTGCAATCTTGTCCATTATAAAATGATCCCAACATTTATTTCGCCAATTCTGAATGGTAGGAGGTTTGGGAGACTTCCATGAGGCCGCTATAGTCAGTCTTGCCGTAGCCAATAATGTAGAAGCGAGATCTGATATAGCTGTGGAGTCTTGCAAGCAAGAATGCTACTTTATGAGCGACTGGCATTAAAGTTGTGAGCGAGCGATTTGGCTGCTGCATAAATTCGTTTGCTCTGGAGTCATCCTTCCTGCATGCATATTTCTGCACCAGGCCTTGGTTTCACCTGTGGAAAATATCAGTAGCTTGCCAAAGAGGGTAAGTAGCAGAACCACAAAGAGACCAGCAGTTTCACAGTCAGCTCTGGCGAAAGCTGCAGAGGATGCGGCAAATTTGTTGCTGAACTAGGGATGCCAACCTCCAGGCGGGACCTGAGGATCCCTCGATATTACAGCCTGTTGTATAATTTAGCGGGGTGAAAGGGAATCACGCAGCACACATGTGTAAATTAGTGAAAAGAAAGTTTACTAAAAATGTAGGGAGGGTTACAAAGGAGGATGAAAGAACAATAAAACAGTTTCGCTGACTAGCTACATGTTTTTAGTTACTGTCTACATCATAATGGATTCTTGCACCTGGTCTTAGAACAAAGGGAGGAAGAAGAAACCCCAAATTGCATACGTGCAAAATATCAGGTTACATCACCAAACTATTGATTAGGCAATGACGAGGCTAAAGGTCATTTCATTCTGGATGAGACCTCCTTCTCTACCGTGGGAAATATGTGCATGAAGCTAATTAAGAATTATCATACACAAACAGATTAACTCTTTCATGACATCAGGGAGAGAACTTGCAAATATCCCAACACAGCTTGTCTCCAGATTACAGATATCAATTTCCACGGAGAAAAGGGATGCTTTGGAGGGTGGACTCTATGGCATTGTGCCTCACGGAGGTCTCTGTCCTCTCCAGGTTCCGCTCCCAAATCTCCAGGTGTTTCCAGACCTGGAGCTGGCAACCCTACCCCCTGCCAGTGGCCAGGAAAGACCTGACAACCCTTTGCTGAATGTGTTCAACAGCTGAACTTACCTTATTTGCCTGTGACAGGAGGTGATAACTTTGGTTCAGCACCACATTACTCCAGAGCTTGCTGAACAGGTTTTGCACTGTTTGTTTTTTTCAGAACTATGCATATGCCAGAACACACTGGCAGATATTAACATTGCTAAGAGCTGCTTAAACAGACACTGAACGGTAGGAAACACCAGGCACACCAGTGTTATAAAAATCTGTTGCTACAATCTGCCCACATCTCTGAATTCTCAGCTTTTAATTTTTTAAAAAGCATTGTTAGCTTTTTTTCATTGCAGGGATATAAGGTGTGAACCTTTCCCTTTATACCTGTGCAATGAAAAAGGCCTAGAAATGTAATATTTTTAAAGGCACTGTTACGAAGGAATACCATTCATCTATTAGGAAGGAACAGAAAAAAGTCCATTAAAAGATTAGCTGCCTGTGTGTGACTGGAGAAGAGGACCTGAGTGGAACTGGTGGATGTTCAGTCATCCATTGTTGTGGTTAGTGCATGGATACATACACTGGCATAAGCACAAAGGTATCGACAAAGAAATGTCTGGAGATCCGGCTACTCTACGGATGGAGATGGAACATGTCTTGATCAAGGTCAATGAAACGCATCAAGAATAGAGTTGAGTTTCTTTAAATTAGTAACTCTGCATCTCATTGGATTTGCATAATGTGTTTTCCCCTTGACTTTGGTGTGCCATGCCCTTTAGGAGGGGCAACATAGGCACTGATGAATCATATCAGAGGAGGCTGCATTTGCTTTAGGCAGATGCATGGATTTGCCATAAGGTTGTCACTCGATTCAAGAACACTCAGGTCCCGGTCACACAGAAGGTTTTGGGCCGGAAGAGGGATGGATCAGGGGTGCAGCAAATGGGCGCGATCTCACCGCAACATCTGGGAATCGGTGCGCACCCGTCCCCGATCCATCCCTACAGCCCAGTACTGCGGAGCAAAAAATAAAACCAAGTAAAGAGAAGGAGTTACCTGAAACGCCGCAGCAAGCGGGGCCGTGGGATCGCCGGCGCGTCTGTCATCGGGAGTCTTCAAGGCTCCTGGCCGAACTGCGCATGCGCGCACACGCGCAGCCGGCTGCCTCGGTCTCCCATTGGTGGCTTCCTCCCCGGCATCTGATCGTGCCGGGGAGCAACTGCGTGGCGGCTCAGGGGGTCTGTGTGATCCTGCCGCCGCGTGTCTCTTTTGGTGCGGCTCTAAAAAGCCGCACTTTGGCCGTGTTTTTTTCTGCCGTGTGGCAGGGGCCTTAGTTGATTAATTGTATGAGTTTCAACTGATTAATCAGTTGAACCAGCCCAGATCTGTGCATGAATAAAACAACAGTTCTGGGGAGGGGAAAAACCCCCCAACATTCTTTCATTCTTTGTGCATGATGCTCACATGTGTTACACTGCAGGCACCATCTCAAGCCCAACTAGACCCGACGCTGGGGAGCCGGTGGAATGCACTGGTTAGAGTAGCAGGCCAGGATGTAAAAGATTTGAGTGCAAATCCCCACATCTGCCAGGAAGCTCACCGGATGACCTGAGGGCAGTCCCATTCCCTCAGCCTAACCTACCTTGCAGGGTTGTTATGAAGATAAAATGGAGAAGAGAGAATCCTGCATACTGCCCTGAGTTGCTTGGAGGCATCTACAGGCACATGGATGTAAGTGTGAATTGCCCAGCACCTGCGTAGTTTGGCCTTCGGAAGAGACAACCACGCCTGAGTCGGCACTATGGTTGCCAGCTCTGGGTTGAGAAAACCTGGCGATTTGGGGATGGAGCCTGGGGAAGGTGGACTTTGGAGAGAGGAAGGACCTCAGCGCCGGGGTATAATGCCACAGAATCCACCCTCCAAAGCAGCCGTTTTCTCCAGGAGAGAACATGAACTCTGCTAGGCTGGATATCAGTAGCAATTCGCTGAGGTCTCCAGGCCCACCTAGCATAGGAAAGGAAGAGTGACTTTTTCTGAAAAGGACTCTTCTGCCTCCCGTGAATTGATAAGCACCTACATTAAAAATAATTAACTTTTTTTATAAAGTCTGCCACCTGCTTAACGAGTAGAGATGTTTTCCCTCAATCAACAGATATTCTAATCTGTTCCCAGATTGGATTGATTGACTCAAATATTGCTGTGAGTGCAGGAACACTGAATGGGGGGGAGGGATCTATTACGGGTGGGCTTCTTTCGCGGCATGGCTTTGCATGCTTGGTTGAGTGTGGAACACTGGCCAGGAGGAGGACAGGACAGTGGGCCAGACCTTCTCAGATTAAAGCATCACTCCTCTGGTAGAGTAGCTGTGAGTCTGTCCTCTCCCTAGACAGGAAGGGGAAATGCAGGAACCCAAATGGCAAACACACATCTGGAAAGTCTTCAGACGAGGTTGGCCATCTACAGATGAGCAATACCGGAGGGCAAGATCACTCAAAAGGAGGGTGAAAAGGGCATGCACTATTGTATGCCTGATGCTAAAATGACTACACTGAGGCTACCATACTTTGGTCACATCATGCGAAGACAAGAGTTGAAGGCAGCAGGAAAAGAGGAAGACCCAACAGTAGATGGATTGACTCAGGCTGAGTTCAGACTGGCCCGAGAGAGGCACGTTTCACAAATGGATTAAAGGGGCCGGTTCACACAGCCACAGCTGCCAGGCGTTCCCCAGCCGTACTCAACCCGTCCTATGACGATTCCCTTCCGAGTTAAAGAAGTACCAGGTGAAAGCCGTAGCAAACCCTGGAGGGCGCATTGATCCCGCTTCCCGGAAGTGCATACGCTAAAAGCAGCAAGCAAGCCACATTGCTGCGCCTATGCGCCTGGGCGCATGTTGCCGGAGTGAAAAAAGGCCGCTTACAGCCGCGCCTCCGCCAGGGGTGGGCCAACAGTGCGAATGCTCCCTTGTGCCTCCTCCCCGGTATGCTCCCGCATCAGTAGGTGCAGTGCGACCGGGAATCCCCGGCACAACTTGGTCCAGGTCTTTTTGCCCCGCCTCCCTCGTGCTTCATACTGCCAGTCTGTCCTCAGCCCAAGTCAAGGAAGCCATAGTCTTCAGTTTGCAAGGCCTGAGCAAGGCTATGACTGATGGGACATTTTGGAGGACATTGATTCACAGGGTCTCCGTGAGTCAGAAGTGACTTGACGGCACTTAATGAATAAGAAGAAGAAGAGAGAAGAGATTGGATTCATACCCCGCCCTTCACTTGGAGTCTCAGAGTGGCTTACAGACTCCTTTCCCTTCCCTTCCCCACAACAGACACCCTGTGAGCTATGCTCCCTCTAAGCTGTGGAGTCTTGTGAGCAAAAATTCAACTTTGTGAGCTACTGGTGTTAAAGTTGTGAGTAAGCATTTTGGCTACCGCTTAAATCAGGTTGCTTTGGAATCATCCTTTCTGAGCTAAGACAAAAATGTGTGAGCTGAAGGCTAAAAAACTGTGAGCTGGCTCACACTAACTCAGCTTAGAGGGAACACTAACTCAGCTTAGAGGTGGGGCTGAGAGAGCTCTTGACAGAAACTGCTCTTTTTCAAGGACAGCTCTTATCAGAACTACGGCTTGCCCAAGGTCATCCAGCAGCTGCAAGTGGAGGAGTGGGGAATCAAACCCGGTCCTCCCAGATTAGAGTCTGCGCACTTAACCACTACACCAAACAATGTATGCAAATTGACCCATGCTTGCTCCAAATTTAAATAGCTCCCCTTAGTAGCAGCTCTGTCTACTCTCCCAGTGTTAAGTATGGATCCTCTCAAGGCCCACCTGAGCTCTCTCTTCTTAGAGTAACCACCGCTGGGTTGGGAAATACCTGGAGATTTGGGGAATGGAGCCCAGGGAAGTTGGGATTCGGGGCGGGGAGTGAATTCAGCAGGCTATAATTCCATAGAAGCCAGCCACCCTCCAAAGCAACCATTTTCTTCAAGGGAACAGATTTTAATAGCAGGAGATCTCTAGGTGCCAGCTGGAGGCTGGCATCTGTACACAGCTGACCCTCCTTAATTCCTCCCCCAACAGCATGGGGAGTGTGAGCAGCCCTTCTTCAAACCGCAGGTTGCTGTGGGTCCCTCGAGGCTGCTCAGGAATTGAGCCTCCCTGGCCAGTGCAGGTGATCTAACAATTCAGGAGGAGCACTGGGACGCTGCAAAGGAAAGAGGACGGCCCTCTGACAAAAAATGGCCATTTGGTCACCCTACCCTGGCCAGACAGGGGGGCATTGTCTTCACAAAGGGAAAGTCCCCTGCAGAGGACTGTGCTCCGAGATCGCGAGTCCCACATTCAGTCCTTGGTACCGACCACAGGCATTCAGAGTAGGTAACGCTGAGTTAGAACCTGTTTCTGGTTCACCAAAGGTCTGACTCAGGCTTTGCTCAGTGCACCCTGGTCTGAGTCCAGGAACACCTTAAAGCCCAGCAAGATTTCCAGGGGATGAGCCTTCTAGAATCACAGCTCCCTTTCTCGGGTAGCTGATGCATCCAGCCGTTCTACTGCACAGCTGCCCTTCGAAACTAAACACACTGAGCTAGACAGAGAACTCCCTTAACCTGCACATCCAGGACTCACCCAAGTCATTCCTGCACTGCCCGGGCAAATCGTTAGAACGCAGCTCAGTTGGCACTGCTGCGTTTTTACCACCGCCGGGCCGGGGAGGCAACAAGCACACGAGCCGCACACATGCGTACGGCATGAGTCACTCAGACAGATGCTGTGCAAGTTACTCACCCTCCAGGGTGGCTGCAAGAGACAGCAGTGCTGAGTGGGCGGCTCTGGAGCAGGCCGCGAGTTCAAGACATGGCCACCACCCATTTGACACCGTTACCCTCTCTCCGTGTGGCCGCAGGGCTCTTTTTGTAGCAGGAACTCCTCTGCGTATTAGGCGACACACCCCTAATGTAGCCAATCCTCCAAGAGCTTACAGAGCTCTTCTTACAGGGGCTACTGTCAGCTCTTGGAGGATTGGCTACATTAGGGGTGTGTTGCCTAATATGCAAAGGAGTTCCTGCTACAAAGAGAGACCTGCTTGTTAACTGGCATGTTTGATTAACCGTCACCCCATTTCCCCATGAACAAAGCTCTTAGTCCTCGGCTGAGGACGCTGGTGGCATGGGGTGGGGGGTGTCCTGAGGGTGGGAAAGGCAGCCAGGGCTCAGGAGAGAATGAAGGGGGGGGGGGTATTTGTGAATTTCCTGCATTGTGCAGGGGGTTGGCCTAGAGTGATGCTCTGTGTTCTTGGTGCTGGGGGGGGAGAGCACTGCTGGACCTCCTTATGGCACCTGGTATTTTTTGCCACTGTGTGACAGAGTGTTGGACTAGATGGGCCATTGGCCTGATTCAGCATTGGCTTCTTTTGTGTTCTTATGTAGTGTATAAGGCATCTTCCTAGGTTCTGCCATGTACAGTTAAAGAGGGGTTCCGTGCAAAGGAGCAGCATTTTCAGAAACAAGAGATGCAGATCTAACGACACTTATCTCTTGATAGGAGTTATGTGGGGGTGGTATCCAGCCTCTTACCCCAGGCGGATTGCTGCTTTCTCAAACCTGTTTGCACTAACTTCCCCCCCCCCCGGCAGGGAGGGGATTGGAGGCATGCCCTGAGGTTGCAGGAATTTCCTGCATGTTTGGGGGTGGAGCCTGGGGAGGGCGGGGCTTGAGGAGGGGGGAGACCTCAGTGAGGTATAATACCATACAGCCCATTCTCCAAAGCCCTCATTCTCTTCAGGGGAACTGATCATAGTCTAGAGATCAGTTGTAACGCCGGAAAATCTCCATGCCCTACCTGGACACTGGAATCCTAGAGAGTGACCACCTCAAAGTTACCCAGCAATATTTCTTGGCAGAGTGGGGATTCGAACCCGAGACTCCCAAATCCCACTCTCGCCTCATTAACAAGCCTTGAAGCACACTGCAGAGACGGCAGCTTCAATCCTCCCAACTCTCCATGTGTCTCGTTCCCCAGCGAACGTGTGAATGACAGCGACCACGAATTTTCGTCCCGCTTCTTAAGAATGAATTGAATCTGACGACATCAGCAGGCCAGCTGAAATGACCTCTCCTTTAAGTTTAAAACTCCACCGCTCCAAACTTCCATCTTGGGTGTCTGTTTCAAGGAGCATTCCCCTACCCCCAACAATGGTATTTTTAAAGTGACAGCCCGGCAAAGTATTTCTCGGGTAGCTATTTTTTTCTCGTTACCTCCTTGGTGTGAAGTGTGTTGTTCTCAGGTTCAAATCCTCCGCACGCCTCTGTTGCTAGGAGCCAGTAATCGGTCCCGAAGGCGATCAGGAAGAGCAGAACACCCAAAACCCCAAGGATCCCGGCGATAAAGGCCGCTATTTTGATCTTCATGGCAGCAAGAGGAAGGGAGCAGGGGCTTAAAGTTGAGGAAAGGAGGGGAACGGGGGCAGCGGCCCGCTTGTTAGGAGACCGGGCATGGGGGGGGAGTCTGAGGAGAAGGAGGAGGTTCTATTTTAAGACATGGCTCAGCACCATTTCACGAGCGGTGTTCATTTCACAGGGCGGCGAGGAAAGGACTATGAAAAGCACATGACCTGGGCTGGCAGAACAGCTGAGGCATTAGAGCAAAGGCTACTATGTACGCAATGCATTCTTAAAAGAGGGGTTTTTTTGGGGGGTGGGGGGACACTCAACCAAGGTAACCCTAAATTCTATGCCAAGTGCACCTCCCAACCTAGCCATATGCAAATGAAGCCAGATTATTTGTATTTTGCTTCTTTGGCATTAATTTTATTTTTGCAGAAAGCCACCCAAGGCATTGAAGTGCCCCCTTCCGCCCAGATTCACCAGCTCCTGAAATCAAAGGGCCTGTGACCTCAGGGCAGAACTCAAGCCCCATGGAGGGGTGGCTGGAGCCTGGGGCGGGGCCTAGTAGCTTTTAAGACAGGGGTGGCCAAACTTGCTTAACGTAAGAGCCACACAGAAGAAACGTCAGTTGTCTGAGAGCTGCGAGATATGAACAAATATCACGCACCTGTTTTTCATTGGACAGTATGCAAATTTGCTTTTTTATCAAAGATGGCCTTTTGCCGAAAATGAACCAAGAACACACAGCCAGCTTGGAACTTCTACTGGCCGCCCAGGAACAGCATGAGGGTGAAATGGGGGCTTGCAAGTGGGATGGAGGAAACAGTCGAATATTGTCCCCCTCCCTGAAGTGTCTTCCATAAGTAAAAAATGAGGTTAGGATCCAAGCTTGGTATTTATGATTATGCTGGTTTTAATTCTAGCAATTTACTTCTCGTTTGCTTGCAAGACACCTGGGAGAATATGTATTTTGTTTGGACGTTTGGCGATAGGCATTTTATTAGATTTTTTTTCAAGGAATCGCCAATCATACTTAGTGGCATTTTCACACATTACATGAGTTTGCGACTGACTGTACTCTCCAGAGGACGCTTCAGCCAATCCAAGCTCTCATGACAAATACGCCTGCATGATGCCCGTGTTCCTGAACATGTGTTGCATTCACAGGTTACATTTTAGAGCTATATCAAAATCCCTGTAGGTGTCCCCCTAAAAAAAGATGCAACTGAAAGTGTAGTGAGGGGAAAGAGGGAGACGGAATTTCCGAACTGCCAGAGAATCAAATGGCTATAATTTATTTCCACATCGCCGTGAAGTATTCAATGACACAGCGAATTTGAACACTTTTTATAAGCCTAAAAGGCTGCAAAGAATTAATTTGCCACACATTGAGATCCCGGCCTGGGACTATTTTCCACTTAGCTGTAAGATTTTCAAGACCGACACTGGAAATGAAAGGAGATCGCTGGACAGCAGCATTACCAGCGGATGGAGCTTGTGTTGTCTGCACGGTTAGAGGCGCAGAGCAACGGCAAAAGAACTCTGTGCAACTTTTGATGGATCTTTGTGTCTTGTATTTTTGGAACTGATGTGGCTCTGTACGCGGGATTCCCCCCTGCAGCCAACCCCCCCTTCCCTGTCCCTTCCCACAGATATAGAAACTGAGGCTTGCGCAATGGCTGAGCATGTGCCTTACCACAAAAAGGACACAGACTAGATACTAAATTTAGATGAAATATTTCCCCCTTTCGAGACATACGATTATTAGAGGTGGCCTATGGTGTTTACAGCTCACCAAAGATAGGGGCTGGAGTGAGCAACTCAGCATGCCTGGACATTGGGGGGTGCTACATCACTCTAAGGGAGTATAGGTGTCAGAGGTCATTTCGGGGGGGATCGCGGGGGATCGCAGTTCCCCCGGGTGAGGTACGGGGGCGGGGCACATGACGAAGCCCCGCCCCCTGCTTCCGGCCGCCCCGCTTCCGGCCCTCATTCAGCCAGGAGGAGGCAGGAGAAGAGGGAGGGTAAGTTGCTTCCTCCCCGCCTCTCCCCACCCCTGCCTGCCTGGGGCCAGGGAGGGCCTTTGCGGGGCTTCCTCGCACACCCGCCAGCCTTGCAGGTCCACCGCCGGGCCCCTCATGGGGCTCGGCAGTGGAGCTGCAAGGCCGGCGGCGGAGGCCGGAACCATTGGGGGCAGGGTGTGTGGCCTTATGACACACTTCCGGTGATGTCAGGGGGTGTGGCATATGCTAATGAGTTATGCTAATGAGTCCCCCTAGCTCTTTTTCTACGAAACTACCCCTGATTGGTGTTATCTCCTTGAATGGGATGCCTCCGTTTGTCTTAGTCTGGGAGCTGCCCTCTGACCCCCTCCTCTCTCTCTATGTCCTCTCTCTCTCTGCAAATGGCCTTCCATGGAGACATATTGTCTCTGCAGGTCTCCCCTGTAGAGAGACAGGGCCCTCAGACTCCCACACACACGATGGCGGACAAGCGGGCCATTTGTGATAGGGAACGTTCTCTTTAGATTAGACTTCTCTCTCCATCCGACTGCAACCTGAATATGAACTGAATCTACTTGAAAAAAATGTTAACGTTTACAATTTTTGCAATATATTTCTTGGGAGATTTATTTACTACACTCAGTATCACGCTTCTATGACTGGGCAAAACTCTGCTATATTGAACAAATATCCTAAAAACAGGGGGGGGAACCCCAACTTAAATATATACAACATTCTTGCCTTCAAAGTGGGACACAGAACTTTCCATTTTTTTTCTTTTCTTTTAAAGCATTCTATAAATTGGGGTAATCAGAAAGTGCCCTTTCCCTATCGTCAAGCTCTCCACGCTGGATACAAGCAGCCAGGAAGCTCGGGGCAGCCAGTTCAGCCAGTTCCAGCTGTATTCATGCCAACATCACAAAATTAAATCACCGGCTCCGTTTGGCATCGTTCTGTCCCTTGCCCGCTCTCAGCTTGACTAGATTCTGTTTTCACACTTCCCGCCTCTTTTGACGCATTTAAGAAACAAAAGGGAAATCAGTATTTGCCTATTTATTTAGAGCATTTATATACCCTTCACCTGTCTCCAAATACAGTCACGACCCAAGACAGGTGACAAAAATAAATACAGACCCAAAATCATCTATTAAAATCATTAGAACATGTCATTAGAACAAGTAATTAAAGAACAAGTAATTAAAATAAATAAGCAAGCAACTCTGGCCCCACAAAGGCTTTTACGTAACTGTTTTGCAGCTTCCCTGGGCAGCCCAAGGGCACAGACCTGCCTCACCCCTTCTGCGAGACTGTTCCATAGCAATGGGGCAACGACAGAAGAGGCCCTGAGGAGGCTGGGAAAGGGAAGGGAAGCTGCCCTGCACTTCTGGTCAGTTTCACTCCCCTCCTGTCAGCTGTTAAACCTAACAGCTGGTGGGAGGGGTGAAACTAACCAGAAGCTGCAGGACAGCTTCCCTTTCTTTCCCCAGCCTCGTTGCCACTGTGGGGCTAGACACACTGGGGTGGGGGTGTCTGGCATCATTAAAAGGTGGGGCACGGCTCGTGGGCATTGAGGCTCCACCCCCAAATGCTCCACCGTGGCTACGAGCCTGCATGCAGACCCTGATAACAGACATGCCACTGATGTTTCCAAACCACCTTCAAGGGCAGCCCCATTGACAGCATGTTACAGTAATCTAACCTAGAGGTTACCAAGAAGAAACACTAGTTGTTCTTCCCTTAGCTAGGTACTGGGATTCACATTACCTGTCTCTTCACTGAACGTTTATTTATTTCATTTATTTTGCTTTATTAATTGACTGCATAAAGGAAGCCATGGGCTTCAGTTTGCAAGACCTGAGCAAGGCTGTTTATGACTGGAGGTTGTGGAGGTCATTAATTCATAGGATTGCCATAAGTCAGAAGCAGCTTGATGGCACGTAACACACACACACACACACAAGCTTTCTTTATAGCCCACTTCTCTCCCCGACAGAGAGCCAGAGCAGCTTACGACATTTAAAGGTAAAGGTAAAGGTTTCCCTTGCTCGAAAGCCAGTCAAGTCCGACTCTAGGGTTGCGGTGCTCATCTCCGTTTCAAAGCCGAAGAGCCAGCGCTGTCTGAAGACGTTTCCGTGGTCATGTGGCCGGCATGACTAAACACCAAGGCGCACAGAACACTGTTACCTTCCCATCGAAGTGGTACCTATTTATCTACTTGCAATTTCTTGCTTTCGAACTGCTAGGCTGGCAGGATTACAACATTTACCACTTCCCTATTTTATTCTCACAACAACTCTGTGAGGTAGAGCCAGTTTGGTGTAGTGGTTAAGTGCGTGGACTCTGATCTGGGAGAACTGGGTTTGATTCCCCACTTCTCCACTTGCAGCTGCTGGAGGACCTTGGGCAAGCCATAGTTCTCTCAGAGCTGTCCTTGAAAGAGCAGTCCTCGAAAAAGCTCTCTCAGCCCCGCCTACCTCTGTTGTGGGGAGGGGAAGGGAAAGGAGTTTGTAAGCCGCTCTGAGACTCTGAGTGAAGGGTGGGGTATAAATCCAATCTTCTTCTTCTTCTAGATGAGGCTGACAGAGTGTAAATGGCCCACGGTCACCAATCATGCTTCTGCGGCAGAGAGGTAATTTGAACCCAGGTCTCCAAGGTCTAAATCACTAATCACTATACCATTCTGTCTTAATTACCTTCCCCCCCCCCCAAACACATGATAGGCAAGAAACAAAAGTTATATTTCAGCAAGATGGGGTTTTGTGGACTTTGTAAGCAATGAATCCATGCATATTCATTAGCATATATTATAGTTGGAGCCTATCAGCTTTTTCGTAGGTGACAGAGGAAACAAGGGTTCCTTTTGATCTCCAGAAAGGCTATGACAGGGATCGTGGAACCCACATGGACAAAATCCAGGCAGGACCGGAGCTGTTGTCAGGACGGAGGGGAATCAGCTGAGATGGAGCAGAAACACTGGCAGAATCCGACCCATCGCGTATCATTTGCGTTGACTGAAGATGAACAGCTCCCCCCAAATGTGCACAAGTCTACGTGATACTGACGGGGTTTGGATTAGTCCCGTAATCAGAATAAATAACAGGGACGAGAGTCACGCTAG